GGATTAACATCTCGTCCCCGGTCAAAAATACGGTCAACCCCCGGTCATACCCCCAAGTGCAAACACACACAGTCACTGACTCACCGAGTCACACATTGATGATATTTACTTCATCATTGAACTAAATATATGTAATTCCATTTAAAAACGTGCAGAGGTCCTAATTATGCCCTAAATATCATTTATCCAGACAAATAAGTAATTAGAACGAAATGGAAAAATTGGCAATTGGGTTTAAGCCCCTGACCTCGATGGCAGAGACAGAGAAGAGCAAGATGATAGATGAGATGAGGGTTGTCCGACGTCCGCTGACAAGTGGTTGCTGGTGACTCACTACCGAGTGCCGGCTGGTGACGGTGACAGGCATGAGGGTCTGTGGAGTGTGGACGAAAAAGAGTAGAAGACGATTGACGAGGTCACGACTCACGAGGGTCGACCGGCTGTAAAATCGTGGATGATGTGAGGGTCAACCGGTTAAGGGTTGTTAAGTGTTAGCTGAATAGTTGTAGAATCATGGAAGAAGCAAGATTGCAAGCCGCAAGAAGAGTGGAAGATGAGTAGACGACGCACCCCAGGACCCAGGTCACGAGAATATGACAATTGGAATTTGGACATATCAATTACAAAGCCCAAGTCCATAAGTCCAAGTTCAAACAGGCCGCACATATCAATTATAAGCCCAAATAGTTAAAATGTTTAATATTTATATATATACCGGGTACGGTACGGGGCGGGGCGGGGGATACAATACCCGGCCCCGGCTCCAACCCCTGTTTGCCACTACCGGGGATCCCCGGCCCCGGCCCTGGGACCCGTTTTAGCGGAGAATCCTCGGTCCCGGGACCCGTTTTAGCGGGAATCCCCGGCCCCGATCGGGTCGGGTGAACCGGGTTCCCCACCGGGTCGGGGCAAATCACCATCCCTAGTAATTGCTCTAAGTATAAGAACAAAATCTGTAACTACTGTAATTATAGGAAGCAAATATGTAATTATTCTAAGTACAAGAACCAAATATGTAAATTATTCTAAGTATAGGGACCAAAACTGTAATTACTTTAAAAATATAGGGACTAAAATGTAAATTAATGAAAAATATTGACTAAAATTGTAACTTAGTATAAAGCATAATGTTTGGTTGAAATTCAATGTCGTTGTGAAGAATAGGTCTGTAAGATACGGACAGGTCCATGACTTGTGAAACTGTTCTTCATTGCGGCATTGAATTTCGGCAAAAAATAGCATATCATAACGAAGATTCATGCATCAAAAAACACGTAAAACACGGATTCAACATATGGAACAAATATGTAATTATAAAGTTTAACATGCAATCAAACTACAATCATCTAACATTGTTAAATAAACCGGTTTAAGTTTACATGGGATAGGGAAAACTTACTTGACCTGCCATGAGTGAATACTTGCAATGATAGTGACATGCATGATGAACTTGCAAACAGAACACCATTCATAGAGATAAATTTTGTTTCAAATATTAATCGTTACGTGTATAAATGGATGATCCTATTTACCCTTTTTACGTAAAGGTTAAAAGGGTAACCCCCACTTGTCGATTTAGCGTTGGTAGGTGGTGTTTGTAATTGCCGACCCAACTACATCGCTCCTGTCCAAGATATTCCATTAGGGTTTCTCCGTGGACTGACATCTAGCGGAGGTGCTACTTGCGGACCTGGGTAAAAAATGAAACTTTTTTTGAATTTTACCTGGATTCGTAAGTCATAGATGTGCCAATTCCAGACCTGGGTAAAATATGTAATTTTTTTTTGTCTTTTAGCTAGCTCTGTAAGTCATGGACGTACCAATTGTGGAGGTAGTGACGTTTTGGTGAAAATTGGAGAGAAATGACTAAGAAATGAAACCAACAACCGAAAAAGAAAACTTTAATTAATTTTCCTTAATCTATATTAGGTAATATTTATTAAAATTAAATGATAAATATATAATTAATATAATTATGAGAGTATAAGAACTTTAAAATATAGCTAAATATAATTTAAATTAATTTAATTTTCTAATAATATAAATGTTCACCAAACATTGATGATATTTGGGTGGTTGTAGTCGTGTTTAGAGAGATGAACCATTGAAGGAACTCCACCTCCTAAACTTACATACAATTTTAGTTTCATTTTTTTTAAATTATAAATAAAACATTTGAAAAATGTGTTTCATAAGAAGAAATAATCGGAAATTTTCACATATATATATATATATATATATATGAAATTGGATATATTATATAAAATATATTTCTTAAAATAAAATAATATTAAAAAATGATACCATATAATCCATAATTGTGGTTGGTACCTTGGTGGTGCAAAAGAGTGTGCTAAGTACTACTCTATTACCACGCATTGAAGTTTGGTCAAATCTGGGTACTAATTTAATTAAACTTTATTTATTGCAAATTTATCCTTCATATTTGCAATATCTTTTCATTTTCATTCCTTCAACTAACTATCGTTAAGTTTGAATGTCAACTCTAGTTAAATTGAAGATATTTTAGTTAATGTATAGTTTTCTATTAAAACTAAAAAACACACCGATGATCCCCACTCCCATCTGTGGTGTACCTCTTTCTCGTACCCCCCATCTTCCATACCTCTTTACTGACCTGATCCTCTATAACAATTATTGTTGTTCATTGAAGAATCAAACCCTTTGTTACTTTATCTCAGCACAACACATTAAACCTATGAAGAAAATTGATTCAAGTATGTCGTCCCAAAAGGCATGACAACGAACACGAATGTTTTACTTGAACAGACGAGAAACATGGGTTCCGTAGCGAGAGAAACTCCACCATCTCTTTGAGGCGTTCTTTCTCAAACCCACCATAAAAAACCTCCTTTTGCCCACCTTGTTTTCATCGGTTCATCTGTATAAATTCTACATTCCACAAAAAGAATACATGCTAATGGCACGGTTTGGTAATATATTAGGGATGGTGATTTGGCCCGACCCGGTGGGGAACCCGGTTCACCCGACCCGGACGGGGACGGGGATTCCCCGCTAAAACGGGTACCGGGGCCGGGGCCGGGGATCCCCGGTAGAGGCAAACCGGGGACGGGGCCGGGTATTGTATCCCCCGACCCGCCCCGTACCCGGTATATATATAAATATTAAACATTTTTATTATTTGGGCTTATGTGATATATATAATTGAGCTTATATTTATTATGGACTTGGGCTTTTACAATTTTATTGGATTATTGTTAATTTTACAATTTTATTATTTTTATTAGGTAAGACTAGATATGATGTAATTAACTAATTATGTTGTTATGTTGATCATGCTTAGAAAAAACTTATTAATTTTAAATTGACCGGGTGTTGACCGGGGGTTGACCGGGGGTTGACCGGGGTTGACCGAAAGTTGACCGGGGCCGGGGCCGGGGACTATTTATATAAACCGGGGCCGGGGCCGGGGCCGGGGATTGCAAACCCCGTCCCATCCCTATAATATATATATATATATATATATACATACTTTTTTTATATTTTATAATAATGTATAATAGATCTTTTATTTTTTTAAATAAAATTTAAGATAATGAGAAAATGATCAAAGTATCCGTTATCTAATATAATAAAATAATGGTTGTTAATAAGAATGATGAAAATCAAAGAATCTTATAAAAGTTATAAATAAATTAAAATAAATAAAATTTAATTCCATCCGTTCTTAAATGAAGAACGTTCTAGAATTTATTAATTAATCTCCGCTATATTCCAACCAAGGAGTTGTTTGTTGGATGGTGGTGTTCTAGCAATTGATTATTAACACTTTATTGATAATTTAAATATAATAAAATAATTAATTATAGGTTAAGAGTTGGATTTACGTGAGACAATATTTTTATACTTAAATTTCATAACAAAATGTTATGAAGGTTGAAGGTAAAAGAAAGTCGAACCTTCACAACACAATGTTTTGCTATAAAATTTCAAGTATAAAAATATTGTCTCACATAGTTCTAAGTGGTTGATCAGACTCAAGAGGGTGGTTGGATGTATTTTTTGAAATTAAATATCTAATTAAAACTCTTAAAATCCATTTTTTATGCATGAAGTATTGTATATTTATGCATATTACTTAAAATTCAAGATTACAAGTAAATTATGCATAAGTACAACTTATTAAAGTTTCATGTTTGAATTCGTGTAACTAACTGCGAATAAACATAATCAAATATAGAATAAACATTTGATTTTAAAATATAAAAAATCTAAATTATAATTAGGATAATTATCGAGTTCTAACAAAATAATTAATTATTATCTTTATAAGAAAATTATATTATTAAAACAAATATAAATTACTTTGTTATTGAAACTAAATTAAATTATAATTAAAAAATTACACAAAAAATATGAATTTCAAATAGTTAATTTTATATTAATATCAATATATTTTTGTCAAATTTTTATGATATCTTTAAATTTATATTTTTCGACTGAGATAAATAATAAAACGAAACATTAAAATTAAGATGTATTTCGCTGCATTACATGAGTACCCTTTTAGTATTCTTAACATATTTTAAGTATTAGATATATTTATTAATGCATAATTAATTAAATTTCAAATTTACATATAATAAGTGTTTATACATATATATATATATACACACACACAATTACTATATATATATACACACACACACAATTACTTAACATTTTTTGAACTCCATAAAATCAAATATTTCCAAAAACTATATAAATGAAACAGTAACTTTAACAACATAAGGATGAAAGGTGTAATCTTTAACAAACCACAGGTACTGAAATGAAATCATAGTCTATTCTTAGAAATAATTCAACAAACACCCCAGAAGATTCCAACCAAAATCCAAAAAACCATGGGCGACGATGGCACCCCTTGAAAAGAGTTTGGTAATTGGTATACTTAATGGGGGTTGGTTAGGTATGGCAGAGGCAGACAAAAACATATATAGTTTACAGCGGATCCCACAACACAAACACTCCAAGTTTGACCCTTTGGATTCATCAACTACTCTATTTCTGTCTGATTTCACCCACTTCATCCCATAACCTCCATCTGGTACGTCACCTTCGTATTATATACATATATATACATACATATATCAATTACTCTTATTGCTCTTAGTTTCAGGTGTGTGGAGCACTGACTGGTGGGCAAATTTGAGGTACTGCTACTTTGCGATTTTGTATATTTGTAATCGATTATAGGAGAAGTGAGTTGCATGTATTAGTGCTGATGAAAGTTGCTTCTGATTAACTGATTCATAATTATGAATTATCCCACTGGGGGATCGATATGAAATTGGTACAACCACAGCATTTTGATTCATGATCTATGTTTCACAGTATTGATATTAATTTGGAATGTATTCAACTAACCCATTTTTGTGCCTTATTGTACATATACAGTAGCAGGTATACCTGTTTTGAAGAGAATGAATTTGGTGTACATAGTTTTCTATAGTTATTATATTTACAATCATATCTATTGTCTTAATGTCTTTCTAGAAATGGGATTCCACTCCTTTGAGTTTTTTATATGATAGTTGATGTGTTTTCTTCCAAGACATGGGTTTGATTTCATATATTGTTCTTCTTTATGAAATTCAACATGGATATAAGCATGCCACAAGATTATGTGTGGTTAGGTGTTTGTGGTCTTCCCCTGCATGTCATTTCTGAAGGTTAGATTATAGAACACACACAAAATTGAGTGGATGGAAATCTGGAATGGAGGTTCGAATCCACGGGTTATGATTTGGATAATGTGTTCCTTAGATGTATCCCAACGAGCATAACCAAGTAGCTATTGTCATTCTTGCTGGTATTATGGAGATAAATATTGTTAATGCAATTGGCGAATTTAATTGTAGATCATACACACTTAAACATATGTATAATATGCTTATATAGACTATATATATCACCTTTCTCTCATTAGTTTGTTTATAAGATTTGATTTGGTTGAAGTTTCAAGTTACTCAATTTCCCTTTTAGGCTTTTCTTTTGTTTGTATTTCAACATGTACTGGAAACAAATAAAACAGAAAAGTAAATTGTCACAACTAAATTGTATCTACTTAATTGTTACAGACATGTTTTACAGCTTGATTTTAACTTCATGTTTTGCAGTTTAGAACTTATATTAGCTTCTGGGGGCATTTGTTGTTATGTAATCATACAGATAAACTTGTGTGAAAGAATTGCATTCAACTATCTTGAAAGGATTTTTCACAAGAACAAGCACATTGTACTTGTGGAGAATCAGTAATGCATAATATGCTTCTTGTTCACCAAAGGAATGCGAAAATTTTAAGCTCTTTTTGTGGTGATGTATTTTTCAGGCCAGATTGATTGCAGCAAATAATAGCACAATTAGGTTCTTTGCCTATTAATGGATTTCTTGGAAGTGCCTGATATCCAGCTTGGCATAGCTGTTGTTGTTGTTACCGTTGCTGCTTACTACCTCTTCAACAAGAAACCTAAAGGTTCATCAAAATATCTCAAATTGAATCACTATTCTTCCATGATTGACCTGTTTTCTTTAATATCGATGGTATTAAAAATCTAACTACCCTCATTAAGGCAAGTGGCCTTGGTGCATCCGGGGTCCTTTTTAAGTTTCATTTTTGTTCATGGGTTCCATCTAGTTATCTGCGAAACTGTAATATAAACTGGTGGTTGTCATTAATTAGGGTGCTTAGATCCTGAAAATTTTAAGGAATTCAAGCTTGTGAAGCGCACACAGCTTAGCCATAATGTGGCAAAGTTCAGATTTGCTCTTCCTAAACCTACTGCAGTGTTGGGACTTCCTATTGGACAGCACATTAGTTGCCGGTACATCAAACTGCCCTTTCAATCACAAATTACCTACCTTTATTCCTCTTTTAGTTACTCTATACTTCTGCTTCAAATTTTGATACACATTGAGTTTTGACATCAAAGGTCAATTTTCACTAAACTTGACATGAAGTTGAAAATTCTCAAGGAAAAATTGATGATCATAATGAACCTTATAACATTTGGTACGAAGGGAAATCTTGGTTTTAATTGTAACAAATGCATATAAATTTTGAATTTGAAAAACTTGATCTCAAAAACCAAAGTGTATCCTTGTTTGATCTGGAAACAGATGGTGTAGTAAAGATCTGTTTTTTACAGTGAAATGGCATGTTTCCTTTTACAAATCAATTTGCTTGTTTCGTTCTTCATCCTTTAGGGGTAAGGATAGCCAAGGTGAAGAGGTTATTAAACCATACACACCAACCACTCTAGATGCTGATGTTGGATACTTTGAGTTGGTTATTAAGGTACATATCCAAAAATTCTGTTTACACTTGTCATTTTGTTTAATCTATGCATGTTTTGTCTTTATACAAATCATCACCATTCGTTGCGTAAATGTAGATGTATCCACAAGGTAGGATGTCCCACCATTTCCGAGAGATGCGTGAAGGTGATTATATGGCTGTAAAGGGACCTAAGGTACATTAACTCTCCGATAATTATATATCATGTGTGGCAAGAGTCCATTCATACTCTTGTCTTATTATGTACTCTCTCTCTCTCTCTCTCTATATATATATATATATATATATGTTATGTTTGATGATATCTGGTTTTTAATGTTCTTGGTTTAATCTTTTTTCTTGTTGCTTACTATACGGGCTACTTTTCCTAGCCTTTCTTCCTTGTCCAAAATTGTCTCAAGCTCTCTATTAACTCTTGAAAACTTAATTTCTTTCAAATCTTAGACAAACTTTCAAAGTCACTAAATACCCCCCCATAAAAGTTCTTGCAAAACCTTTTTCATAAAACCCTTTAGCAAGTCAGCGTCTTCACGTGAACCACCTCTCAACTTCTACGGGTAAAGGAGGGCCTACATGCATCTTACCCTACTCCGTGTGGGATTTAGTGGGTTCCTTTGGTTTGGTTTTACCTACTAACAAAGCAAAAACATAGAAACCAAAAAAGTCCCATCAAAGATCATCATTTTCTTCTTTGGTCGGGATTTATTTACTATCGCTGAAAGTCAACCGGTATATTAAAGAGACCCAAATTCTTAGAAGCTTAACTTAGGTTGAAAGTTGTGAATTACAGGGGCGTTTCAGGTATGAACCTGGGCAGGTGAGAGCATTGGGAATGATTGCTGGGGGTTCTGGAATTACTCCAATGTTTCAGGTGTTTATTTGTTTTTGAATCCTATCAAGTCTGAGATCTTTGGTTTTAAAGTAAAAATCCATTTATTTTTTGTGTTTATAATCCTAGGTTGCCAGATCTATTCTAGAAGACCAAACAGATAGAACGAAGGTGCATCTCATCTACGCCAACGTCACATCTGATGACATCCTTCTTAAGGCAAGTAATTATATTTTCTCATTGCTTATCTTCAACTAGACTGCTGATTTACTTGCTGTTGATAAATAAAAATATACACTTTCTGATGTGTGATTAATGGTCACTTTGCTTTCAAACATTACATGTAAGGTGTAGTTTTCTTAACTCATTTGATGACTTTCAGGAAGAGCTGGATGCACTCGCGACTAATTACCCTAGCCGCTTCAAAATTTACTATGTATTGAATCAGGTATTTATTTATTTTTACCTTTATGTACCACATATTTGCTTACCACCACTTTCACCAACACATAAAATTTAAGAACTCCCTTTGGCCTTAATTCCTTCCTCAACACCATTACTCTGATCTCAAATCTATGTACAACAACAGACCCCAAGACTAGGCCCGGGCTTTTCGGGCCTGGGCCTTCCAAGCTTGTTTTTAGTTAGAAAAAAAGCCTGGGCTGGGCTTTGGATGTAAAAATGGGCCCGATCAGGCATTTTTTCAGGCTTTTGACCTGGCATTGAAAAAAATACTTGGTCTGATCGGGCTTTTTGGCTTGGCATGGGCCTGGGCTTTTTGGGCCGGGGATTTTTTGTGCATCTCTTATTCCAACTTCCAACCATGTCGATGGTCACAAAAGACAATTATTTGCTCCCCTTTTTGTATGAAACCTCCTATCTTCAAACTCTTCCAATGCTAAGCTTGAATACTACTGCCTTGCTTTAGGTTGCAACTCTCTGAAGGCATGTACTTAGCTTTATATGCCACATTGAAGTCCGTAGTGTCTACATCTTTCTAATGTAACTGGACTTTAGCACATATGTGTTTAGGATTTTAGGGTAAAGTTGGACTTTTGCAAATCGATAGGTCAACTTATGCTGTTACCCTTGTGCACTTCAGTGTCCAATTATTGAATTGCACCATCTGTGACCCATTTGTCCTTAAATTTGTATGGTCAAGATACCAATTACGGATGATGTTGTTTGTGTGTTCTACATTTTGGTTATGAACATTGCCATTTTTTCACAAGCTGAGGGTCCTCATAGAAACAACTTCTCTACTCCTTGGGGTAGAGGTAGAGAAAATGTTTGCGTACATCTTACTCTCCTAACAACCCTACTCCTTGTGGGATTACTGAGTTCGTTTAGTTCGGTTTGGGTTTGATAACATTGCCACACTGCAATAATACTAATTTATTCCTAGCCTGTTTTACAAGAGTCCACATTTGATTTAGAGTGTCAAATCTAGTGTTTACAAATTCAAATTGGATGCATAGTTCAAAAAGTTTCATCTTAAGAAAGTTTGAACTCTAATAATTTATATACCGTATGTGTAATCATCAATTCCTTGCCTAAAAAGGAAAGTTATCACTAAAAATAACCCATTGTACACTTTGAGTCTACGCACACTTTTCACAAGCCAGGGGTCTTTATGAAAACAGCCGGCCTACTCTTTGGCTAGATGTCAGGTTTGCATACATTCCTCCCATCTCCAGGTGGAATATATACACCTCGTTCCGTTTGGTTTGCACTCTCGTGAGTCTCATACATTTTGGGATGTAATATTTTTTTGTGGCGGTAGTTATAGTCATGGATGAACTAACAAACATTGTGGTTTATACTTTTGAAGCCACCTGAGGTATGGACTGGTGGCGTCGGCTTCGTATCACAGGAAATGATCAAAGAGCATTTACCTGGTCCTGCATATGATATCAAGGTACACTTTCATTCTTTTACCCCCTCCCCTTTGTGTTAGATTTACTGGGTCCGTTTGGTATGATGAATTTTGAAGAAAAAAAGGTAGAAACTGAATAAGAAACAAAACGAACCTGCAGATCCTACGGTGTGGTCCACCTCCGATGAACAAGGCCATGGCTGCTCATCTTGAAGCTTTGGGATATGACTCAGAGATGCAATTCCAGTTTTAAGTCTAAACATATTCATGGTCTTTAGATTTTCTTGCATTTGGGATCTTCATTGTTCATCTGATTTGAGTACTCTATTTGAATAAACTTTTCCCGGAACCTTTTTTCTGAAACAAATTTAAACACACGTCCTTTTTTGCAAATGAGGGGTGTTTATGGAAATAGTCGCTCTACTCTTTGGAGGGAGTGAATGATGAATCTACTTACATCCCACCCCCAATTCGGATCTGTGTTGATGCAACTTGTGTTATGTGTATGTTACATATGCGTTATTGTGTTGTTATATGGTTCCATGATACATTTGTGCCGCGTTATGTTTGGAAAATTTATTCTCGATGCAAAGTGGCTTTAATTTTTTAGACACATTTTGAAAGTCGCAAGTAGATGGTTCTCTTGGGTGGTAGATGGTTCTCTTCGGTTCACCATCCACAATCGGCTATCCTCGAACCCAGAACCAAAACGGACCCATAAGAAGTTACAATATGTAAATTTTCACAACTAAAAGTAAATTACAATTTCTTATTAACATTCAAATCCAAATGTTTGAACGTAAGTAACCAAACCAATTATGAATAATGTCTTAAATTATAATCTAAAATTAAATTGATATAAAAAGGGAACCTGGATAAAAAAAAAGAACTGAAGAATCATGAGAAGGCGGTTGAAATGATATATCAAAGTATTTGATAAATTAAAGGGTTGTTTGACATTTGACAATTGAAGTCATAAATCATGTATCAGACTTATTGAACCATGCATAAAGGGTTATTTGATAGTTGCTCAGTTTCGGGTGTTCATTTGTGTATGGGAATATTATATTCCCATTATTTGCATAATCACTTGAAGCATACATGTTGTTGGGTATATTTGATCCTTCATGATATAATTTGTCAAGTTTGTGATTATGATGTTTTAATTCTTATGCATAAGGGCTAATTGATTGTGTTGTCAAGTTGGAAGTTTCGATCTTCATATCTTGAATGCTATTAAGGTCGGATAGGAACATTGAGGTGACACTTGACTAGAGGATGAATAGACATTAAGATTCGATATCCTTAAGGTGACACTTGGAAGAGTGGGCGTTAAGGTATTGTGGACTTAAAGTGACATTTGTACGAGTATGCATTAAAGTTGACTTGAGATGAACTCGGAGGAGTGTGTACTAAAGTCAATAAATCTGAGGTAGAATTTCATAACGTCATACTTCTGTGTCTCGTCACCCCAATTGAAAAAAGTCTCCCCGTCACCACAAGATGATTTCTGTTGCTTAAACTGCCATACTTCAGACATTTTTAGAAACATGAAAATGCATTTTCAAATGAGAACTATTGTTATGAAAAATTATTTTTTCACTTTTACTGTTTTATGTTTGAGATATAAAATGCTTGAGCAACAATTACTGTCGATTTTGAAAGTATGTTTCTTAGCTTAAACCAAGTTAAAATATGTACATTTTTTTTTTTGGAATTTACGTTTTTGATAAAAGAAACAGTGAATATTTTCTAGATTGTTAATTTGTAGCTTTGTACATGTTATTTGAACGTGAAGTTATTATAATCCATTAACAATTTGATATTATTGCATCTTACATACGGAATCTACATTTACACGACCTGTCAATAGAGATGGATTGAAAAATTCTTTTAAATGATCATTGACGTAATATAAAGTAAATAAATATTATTTTTTAAAAACCTACAATTTCATTAAAAGTAATATAAAAAAAGGAGTTTTTTCCAATATTAAAATGATTTCTTTTTCCTATTACTATTATAAAAAACAAAAATAAGAAACAGTCAAAGTGATTTGAACTTGTGACCTATAATACCACATATAGTAACACTACTTGTAGAGCTACAAACACTTCTGTTTTTTTAAAAGAACACACATGAATTTAAAGTAGGTGCACTTTAAGACCCTTAAATTCTTTTCCATTGTGAAAAGTCATGGTAAATGCATGCATTTCTTGTACGCAGGTCCGCTCATGCTTGTTAGTTGTACATCACCACTTTGAAGATTTCTTGATTGTATGTAGGTCCGCCCCCAATTTCTTGATTGTGTTAATCTGGTTCCAACATCCACGGTTATTCAATTTGTTTGGGAGATCGAACCACAATACCTGCTCTTGTTTTCATAGGATGAAATCGGGGGCTCACCCGCTATACATAGGTCTCTTGCATTCTAGGATGGTACTTTACCCATGGTAGTGAGTATTGTCCTGTGTATGGCTTTTCTTGGTTAGTTATACAAGGTTGTGACTTAATAGCTTAGCTAGGAGCTTATTCGGTCAAGCCAAGCAATATGTGTTGCTACCATCCAATCATCGTTTTTTCCCCTTTCACCTTTGTGAAAACACAAAGAGCATCAACATAAAAACATGCCATAGAAACATTACAAGGTAACTGTAAAGTCTAAACAGAAATCCTATTTCACACGAATACTAACACTCTTTGCAATTAAGTTAAAACGACGTTATTCTCTAATGAGTAGAGGTTAGATCGGTCTCCTCAAAGATGTCTAACCAACACAAACACAATCAGGTAACAAGGACTGCAGCCTAGGATCCTATTTTTAATATGAATCAGCAAATGGATAAGATTGGAATGGCAAGGGTGAGGCAGGTGGGTGAATGAATCGTAGAATTTTTTAGACATGGGTAGTTCAGTAATCAACCAATCTTGTCCCATCTTCCCGATTTTCGTCCCACCTATTTTGATGGAATAAAAAAAATGCATTCTCATCCCACTCAGGTCCGTTTTGTCACAAACTAATGTCATATCAAACATAGGCAACAAGTTTTGTTCTACACTGTCCTATCCTAGACCGTTTTGAGAGATGGTGCAGGTGCAGGTGCAGGTGAAGGTGAAGGTGAAGGTGAAGGTGCAGGTGAAGGTGAAGGTGAAGGTGAAGGTGCAGGCTTAGGCTTTCACCTTTATAAGAAACAAGTTCTACTTTCAATTCAATCACATTTTAAGATGTACAGGTAAAGAAAAGAGCGACCTTTTACTTGTTCCTATCCTCTCTTTTCAGATGTGAAATTTAGCATCTGCCTCCTACATAATGTAACACTTGTAAATCAATTTACAACTGGCTAACATTCACGTAAAATCTTAGCTCAAACCGTCTTTTTCATCGTCTTAATAGATTGTATGATGGTAAATCTTTCACGCATGTCACATCTTCGAGTGCAAGTTCCCTTTCCAGTTGCGTTTTTGTGGACTTCAGAACCTCCTACACAATTCAAATGCGCTTTTAGGTTTACTACTTGCTAGAAACTCATCAACAACTTTGGCACCTGTCCCAAAGGGTCATTGGCATTGGCTCAACAGTAACCTCCCTGGAGGTCAAGGGTTCAAAGCTCACCAAAGATGAGGATATAACTACTATATATACATCGAAAAAGAAGGCTTTGTTAGTTGCTCACATTGAATTCCATATATGAAGCACGCTTTGTGAGCCAATGAGCATCCATCAGCCTAAAGGCAACACAGAAAAGCTCATCAAAGGCCGATTCATCATGACTCAGAAATCGCAAGAAGCGCACCCCTAACGAAGTTGTTGGTGTTCCTGCAAGTACATTATAAATGTGTATATAAATCAAAACATAGTTCTTGCCATCTTTGGGATGCATGAAAAACCAAACAAAACAAGCATAGTATGTCCCACCCGACGGTGGGGTCTATTTTTTTATAACCGAATGATAAGCATAGATCAAATTGATTCCACTGAAAGCAAAACACCAAATGCATGCCATAGTCTAGTGGCATGTTCAACAATTGCCTACTGAATAATGGAAAATTAAGTACATAGATAATGAAAGATGTAATGGGTAGGTCAAGCAGACGATTTCTCATAAATCATATTATCTATACCTGATTGAATATTCAACATCTGCACCAACATGAAAGAGATATTGATGCCAGCTACTGCAAAAGGATACTCCCAATCAGCTCTATTTCCTTCATTTTTGAGCAGAAGGTTTTGAAAAGCCTCCTGTTCATAAAAGAAAAGGAAAAGATTAAAAGTGTTCAACTTATGTCAAAACATTTTATCACAAGCAATGCACTCCAGGAGATATTCAAAACTTTGAGAATGTAAAGAAAACTTTCGCCTCAACAATGTTTATCAATGACTTGTTACTCAAACATCCCCTCAAATCAGTGAAAATCACTAAATAGTCAATTGGCATTTAGGGATTGACAACCCACCTCATAAACTTTCAAGAAATAGAAAAACAGGCCACATACATTCTACAAATGTCAAAGCAATCCTAAATATTTAATCGTTAGAAAAGCAGTCCATAGCGGTCCTAGTCGAATTATTTGCTATGGGTTGGTTCAACCAGAGGCTCTGGTCGCGAGGCCAGAAGCTCTGGAAGAGAGACCAGAGAGGCTCTGGTATGATGTTGAATTATTCTCTAAGTATGGTCGCCACAGAGGCTCTGGTCGTCACAGAGGCTCTGGTCGTCACAGAGGCTTTGGTCAATACAACCAGAGGCTCTGGTCGCCACAGGGGCTTTGGTCTCCTTGGAGTTGACTAAGTTGACCAAGGGTTGATTTTTGGTTCGTTTGACCTATGTGGTTGTTAATAATAGGTCAATTAGAGTTGTTTGAGGTATACTAAGATGCTCATATACGAAGTTTGACTTTAGGTTGGGGCAGAATGACAATAGTTGACTTTTGTTGACTTTTTGGAGAAATTTAGATGTTAATGAGATATCATGGTATAATTATCATATAGGTTGCCGTTTGTGAGAGAAAAGCCTACTGAACGTTAACACTTCAAGGTGAGTACATTATGCGATTTTTTATGGGATATATACATGATTATTACAAAAGTATTTTATCCATGATATTTGCATGATGTGTTTATATGCATATGATGATAACTTGATTATTTAATGTGCATGATATTTAAGTATATGCATGATATGAAATATGATGTGGATGAGAAAGATTATGATGACTTGATATTATCAATATGATATTCAAGTATGTGTATAATGTGATAAATGACGATGATGCATATGTGATTTATGTTGTCACTTGCATGAGATGTATGTTGCATGTCACGATGAGATTTGCATTAATGAGTGAGTATTGCAAATAAATGATATGCAACTAGTATGATTCGGCAAGATTCGTCTACCGTACGGGGTGGGTTGGACATGAAAGGAGGGCTTGCAAATGAAAGCATGGTCCTGGATCTTCGAACTACTAATAAATCTTCAGGAATTGCTTGAGGGAAAAGACTAAATTTTACCAACTACAGAGACCTAAACCAAATTTCTACCAAAAAAAGCTAGTAAACAAATATACAAGTATTTTTTTCCCTTTTCCAATGGATTTTCTTGTTTCTTGCTCCAATATCAGGACAAATTATGCAAAGCAAACAAAACGTTCATGTTCACATCAAAGCAAACAGATGGCTTCACAAAATTAAGACCAAAAGTACCATCAGCACTAACAGAATTTTCAAAAACCATCTAAAGCAAAGGATGTCAACATCAAAACTCCACCCTGGTTGGAGGGTGAAAAAGAAAAGAGCAGACGAGAAGCAACAACAAGGGATGACAAGCTCCGGCTTAACTGAAAGGTGTTGGAGGATGGCGAAAGAACAGATTATGAAACAATCTTATCAAACTAGTCCATAAAAAACTCTGTGGAAAAGTCTGATGGCTTCGAATGTAGGTCGAAGAAAAGTCCACAAGCTCTAACAAGGACTGGCGATTTAAGTCGATGATGGTTGTAAGGGATGGTGCAAGGTGTAAGGTGCAAGAAACACTGTACAGGTCAGACAGAAATGACGGCTACAGACGAATGAAGGCCATCGCAAACCTTACCACACTGGCAGCGGTAGCAACAAAAAACAATGAGACAAAAAAATGTACATGGAAGCTAACAATTTATGATGTCCAACCACGCATCTCATTGCTTTAGAAGAAAGATTCCATTTGGATTGGAATCTGATCATGCCACTTGCCAAAGCCAGCAGAGACTGTTTTCTATAAATCCCAGCTCTAAGGCACTAATACCATGGAACATATACAGGTTCTATTCTCTATTTTGTTTGTATTTGTTAGAATATTCTGGGCAGAAAGTTGATTACCGGCAACCCTAACTGGCCCCATACGGAACCTGCCTCCAAGGACACCAATGAGGGGGCATTTTTGGCTCACTCGGCGGCTGAGGCTATCAGGGGGCTTGGGATCAATCCAGGACCTGTCTTGTATTTGGCAAAGTCAGCCCACCCCTTTGCCAACTGAGCTACATGCCAGAAGTGGGCTTTCTGAAACATAGTACAATAGTGGGCTGATGGGCCAATGCTAAAACTTAACTAATCTAACACTAACCCAAATACATAATTTTGTGACGTGGAGGCAATTAGGTCTCTTGGACACAAGTTATAAATTCTTGGGGTCACTTCTAGTGTTAAAAGTTGTGAGTCAAGCCCTTGAACATGGCAATTTCATGTGCCACAATGGTACGCTATTTCTATACTAAAAGCATGGTTCTAAAAATCGGTTGAGGTGCACCTTGGTGGTATGAGGTGGTGAGGCGGTAGGACTTGGTTGGGTTCTTTTTGCAGGTCCTGATTTTTTATCTAAAAGAAGACTCAAAAGGCAAAACCCTAAAAGTTGTACTTTTTATTTTAACGAGTCAAAAAAGGACTGCCTTATTTTATCTCAATCAAGAAACCAACTGACCCTTTTCTCTCAAGGAGACCTTCTTGCCGCTGTTGAACTTGTAACTTTGTAAGTTGTACTTGGTACATATATTGTATATAGCATGTTCATATATTATGTGTTACTGTGTATATATTAATAGATAATTTTTTTGCACACACACACACATAAATATATAATTGTGTATCAGTGTATTATACAGCAGTTAGTATGTTCTGTGTATATATCAAAAACATATATATTTTGTATAAGATTCTGTCCAAGTGTCCAGTTAGCATGTTTGGTCCACTTGTAGTAGTAATTTTACTACTACTATATCATTGATAGTTTGATATGGGATTATAATTTTGCATGCTATGAATTATTTTGAAGTTTATTTGTTTTCTGCCTCGGACAGCTCGAGGGTTACGTCTCATCTAGCGCTTCCGCAATTCACAAACCTTGGCTAAAAGCGCGGTTTTGTTGCATTTGCATAATGTTTGTATCAAATCTCTGAGCCCGTAAAATACTAGTCATAAGCTTAAGTACATAAGCATGCATAAGAATATTTAAGCTACCATTCCCAAAATGTTATATTGATTATAGGCATCATCATAAAAATAATCTGCTGCAATGCACAAGAAGGATTTATTCAAGTCAAGAAACGAACCGGATATCTCTGGGCAAAGAAAATAAGATTCTCTAGAGATATGAATCCTCCACCCCTGCAAATAACATTCAAGTTTTGAAAACAATACCAATCTGCATACAATTTCTGTAACATGCTTAACAAGGTTACCTGAAGTCTGTAGAAGGATCAGATCCTTGCCACCCCATCTCTTTCCAAAGCTCTGATTTAAGTTCTGGAAGCTCCCTATTCGGATAAGCTAACCTCCACAACTGCTTAAGTGCATCCTGATATCCAAGTGCAAGTGAAATCAAAGGAAGATACACATTAGCTACCAATACATCCATCAACTAATAAACCATGAATCATTCAAGATCCTGGAACTCAAAGGAAGCCAGATTTCCATTATCAGACCAAGACCAACCTGTAGAACATGATAACGGAAAACCTAAGACCTATTACTCATTCAATTAAACAAGGAATAGGCAGAAGGTGGTTCAAAGTTGCAGCAAAAGGTAGTCAAGGGATGCAACTATGTTGACAAAGATTCTAACCATTTTTCGGTTAATGAGGCAATTTATGAGAACTTACGATATTCCTTCTTTAACATAGTGTACAACAATACATTAAAGAGTACTCCTTCCATTGCTAAGAATTTCCAACATCTTCCTTCTTTGAATGTCCCAAACAAGTTGCTATTTTTCATTGAAAAAAGTATTTAAATTAAAATACCCCGTTGTCCCCATAGTATTTACAAAAGAAAATGTGATTCTTTTTGGTCCATAAGATTTGCTTTGACTGAGGCATTTAGCTAAATGTTAACAAATGTTATATGTTTAATATGTCAAAGATAGGGTTCGGAAAAAATATATGTTTGTTGAAATTGTGTTCAAGGAGGCATAAAGTATTCAAGCAGCCTAAACAATAATGTGAAATGTGAAGCTCACTGAAATGGCACAGAACACAAGAGGATCCACAAGGGCAAAATTCTGATGAATGATGTAAAGTGGCAAGGTAAGCTAATGAAACTATACAAAACTTTCTTCTTGACTATAGCAGAAATCAACTAAAGTCCGAGGTATTTGATTTAAAATATCCGACATATTAAGCTTGTCTACACTTGGTCCATGAAGAAGCCTAATATGGTTACTAAAGCTGAACAAAGGCTGGTAGAGGATTAAGAAATGGAGCTGCAGAAAGGAAGGAAAGATGGGGGTGAGAAGAAACACATGAACTAAAAATGTTGTCGTAAACACAGTATCATTGATATCATGGAAGTGTTTCTCAATCTATCATCGAAGACACAGATAGCAATAATCATAATGCTAATAAATCTTAACATCTCCATAACAAAGCTATTAACTATCCTAACTATTATGTCAATTGACAAAGCTAATATTGAACCTAACAACAATTAGGATATTTATCTTAAATCTGTTCTCGTATGATAAGTATCCTAATCATCTCCGTTATCATACTGAATAGATAAGTACATTTTATCTCCCAAAACAATAATACATAATTTCCAATGATAATTTCTTTAAAATTCTATACATGCCCTTGTTGTCCCCAGTCCCCACCTATATTGTGAAAACTAATAATAGCTCAATCATAACTTCTTTAAACTTCTATAAAAAAAATGGCCATGTCGTCACCAGTTATACTGTGAAAACAAAGAACAGTAGACTTGCTATTGGCAAATGTAGGAATATACATCCCGCAGAGCATACATTAGCCTTCTTGACTATGAGTGTCGATAACAAGTGATGCAGCAAATGCATTTAAGCACTAAACTCCGTTCGATATTTAACAGCATAATATCTATTTAAGTTCTACGATCTGCATCTTTATGACCTTCCCTTCTTGGAATACAAAATATACCAACTTCTTGTGTATCATAGAAAAAAGAAACATCTTAACTTGAACAAGAATAAGACATTAAAAAAGAAATCTAGCCAAATATTCAAAATGCAAGGAGAATACACAATCATAAGATTGGATGAAAAAAATCAATGAATACTCACTTGATGCTCAACACAGGAACCATCAAAAGGGACCGCCAATCTTTTCTGCAGATTTCTGAGTCTTGCCGCCTACCCGCATAACCATTGAAAGGATAAGAAGCAAGCAAAGTGTAACAACATGAACAAACACAAGTCTTATAATCAATTATCCATAACATGTAGGTCATAGCCCCATTTTATGTACAAGGAGCATGTTTGTCCTTTTCTATATTCATATACATGTTTCCTCATATACTCTAGAGAAGTAGGAATACAACTAGCTGAATAGTTAATACCATTCATAAGATAATTGCTTCTTCTATACTTCCCTCTTCATCGCATTATTATTACTGCCGGCAGAGAAGTGAAAAACATTCAAACCACCGAGTACAAATTACTTTAAAAAATCCAACAAGGTAAGAAAACATGGTGTTCTTTGGATATTACAGGGGTAGGAATGTAGGATTTTGATGTTTATTAATGTGATTTCTTTCAAAGACTGGTTTTCTACACCATGGGCCAAAACCATAAATTTTGGGCAGATCTTGGCAGGTTTTATGGTCTAGACTCTAGATAGGTAAACAAGGTCTGTGAATAAAGTTATGCCATGAGAACCGCGTTCCTTGTCACTGTAATCAACCAGTTTCATGACCATATTTTTTGGTATATCAAGAGTGCTCCACTGTAGGTAGCATTTACTGATCATGGTCATGTAGGTGTAGAAGGTCCACACGCAGGTTGGTCCAGAGCGCCATGTGGTACAAATCTATTTACTGAATATGCTGTATAGTGCCATTAACTTGGTTTGTGTAAGATTGCATGCAAATATTTTAAGTTTACATTGTACTATCAGCAACTCCACCTATTTATATGTTAAGATCCGCAGGCACCAACCTATCATATAATAGTCAGAGCTTACCACTTGGTATAGATGCCTTCTCCAACCATAAATCTTAACATGCTATAAGAGCCTAGTAAGCCCTAATCAGTTACACTGCCATCTGCCACTGCAGCCTGTAGGTTCTAATCACTCCAGACAGCCCTTGTCTGAACCTTTTAAACATCAACAGAGCTTATCGCTGAAGGCCATGATTCTTAAAGTCCTCTGAACTCTTAAAGCTCCAACAGAGCTTATCAATGTGACCTACGAATAGAAGAATCATTAGGGAAGTGCAGAGAGCTCCTCCAAACTAAGTTGCACCCAAACCCAACCAGAACCTTCTTTAGAATGGTTGGTGCACTCGTACTTGATATGATCCCACTCCTTGTAACAGTTATAGTACAAAACGCTCTGGCCTCCACCTCCATACTAAAAGCCACCTCTCTCTCCAGAGACAATTAAGCCAATACTCTCAGAAGCTGAAATAGAACTCTTCACCTCAGGTATAAGCACATGAAAGCAAGCTACAACTACAACCAGAAATTCCAACAAGTGTAGCTCAAACAAAAGCTTAATGAGAAGAAATATGGCCAATATAAGTGAGAATGACAAGCTCCTTCAAGGGATGCTCATGAACTTAGGATCCAGGCTATGAGTAAAAAGCTCTTGTAATTCCTCAGAAACCTTTGAACAGTGCATAACATTTGTAGTAAAGGTCAAGTTCCCTTGGTCAGGATAATTCTTAGAGAACTACTAACCAGTTTCCTTATACTACCTGGATCACTGAAACTAAGCTGAAGGGGTGGCTTCACCAATAAGCTCAATTGAGTAGCATATTCATAAGCCTGGAATATGCTTCACATATGGATTCATTAGTTTTACAACAATGACCCCCTTTATCTCATCACCATTTCCAGGAACGATTTCCAATGAAACATGGTCAAACTAGGATAAAAGAACAAGGTAAGGGGGATGCAGAACTATATTTGGAAGTTCAGGGGTTAATGAGCAATCTAACCCTCAAGCTGAATAGATGTAGCTCTACCAAATTCAAATTATAATATGCAGAATGAATCCAGTGTTGGCCTTGTTTAATAATATGATATATTTCACATTCAGAAAAAATGTGCACTTAATCATGTGTCAAAAGTCAAAGCAGAATATCTGCACCAATTCAATTATACCTGCAATGGACTAAGTATTGGTGGAAGAAACTTCTTTATCTGTCCACTTCCAGCTGTTGAAGGCAAAGTCCAGAGCCGTGCAATAAATGATCCAGACCCAAGAACAATATTTGCTAGAAAGAAAATAGAAAATGAAAATTAGTCAGCAATTACCACTAGGCACCGCAAAGACAAACCATACAACTACTGCAGTTCTACCGTTTGAACCATAAATTCTAGTTCCCAAAAATACTAATTGCTTATGTAAGTTGCCATTATTCTGTATCATTCCAAATAGATATCTTTCACAAACTATGCATGACATAATATCAAACTAAGTTCCCACAGTTTTACAAAAAAGCCGAGTGAAACAACAATAATTGTGGTTGCAAAACATAACAACAAAAAATGCTCGATACTTCAGTGCGTCAAGTTCATATGGCAATGTCTTGGTACTAAATAAAACCCTCAGCCACGGTCTTTGATTTGATAATAATATGGAGAAGCTGCTTAGGTGATAATTTTTTTTGCTCGAGTTTAGTACATTCTAGGTACTACTTCCTGCCAGTGCAGAAAATGGAAACTGATGAAGAATAAGTAATAAGCATCATTAATTATCATACCCAACCATTGTGCCCATTCTGAAATTAATTGAGAGAATAGTAATGTCCAGTGGAGGCGTTCTTTTCTTCTTTCGTCGTAAATGATAGCTTCAAGCTTCTGTATGTAAGATGCAAGGATATCAATAGTAGATATATTATAATCAAAAGGAAATTTGGAAGCATCTTTTCATGATAAATACAGTATGATGAAAAGGAAATTGGGAAGATGAAAGCACCTCTATTTGCTTAGGATTGTATTCCTCATCATTTCCCAGTAAAGGTTCATTCAAGTCATCCAAATCCGCAGTTATTAAATGCTCGCGCTTTTTACCATCAACATCCCCATGAAGGAGTCTTCTCCTCATTGTTCTTGATGTCATTAGTACTTGAATGCTTAATTTTGACTAATGCCTGTTCAAAAGTTATCATCAAACCACATTTTAAGTTCCACCATAACACTCAAAGCACAAAGCAATAACAGACCTAACAACCCTCAAATCAATTAAAACCATGAGGTCCATGACAAGAAGTTACTATTAGCCCACTATCAAAGACTTCTAAAGGACCTTAAATTAAAAAATTGAGATGCAGTCACAAGCTTTCTCGCTTAATAATGTCTTTGTCGTGCCTGATGGGAAACTCAAAACTTATTTGAATTTCTCATATCCTCGTCAAGCCCATAAATAACTTCAAAATTGAACCACACTCAATATGTTGCGGTAGGTGATAAATGCAACCCACTGTACATCAAAGGCTACCATTCTAACAGCATTTTTAACATCCCAAACTCAAAAGCAAAAACTAACTCAGATCCCCAAACAACTAAAACGGAAGCTATAGCCACTGCAAAAGACTTACAAAGGGCCTCAAAGTGCATGCTCACAACAAGAAGTTCATATACGTTCAACTTTTGAAAAAGTGAACTATTATGACCAAACTTACAAACCAGTACAAATTCGATGTAGACAATAAGACCAATCCTGTAACAAAAAGCGTTCATCCATCATACAGATTTACCAAGTGATTGACTTTCACTACAGATCTAGAACAATCCATACGAACTTTAAAGTTCAAATCTACTAGGTTTGACATAAGTATACAACTTTTTCTTTGGAACAGAACCAGTACTTGACATATTCATAATCACCGTCCAAACAAACATCATAAAGGGAAAATTATAAATTACAATTTAGGCATGAACGAGCAATTGCAACAACTAAAGATTAAATCAATGCAAAACTAAACCAATTACAATCCAATTCGATTGGAAGCCTCTATCATGCTCGTAATTTGAAATTTACATATATATGATCACAAGAAACGATCTTACCGTGGAGAAACAGAAGCGTATCGGTGTGGATTGATTGAAACCCAATTCAAATTCCAAGAAGAATATACATACGGAGGGAAGTAGAGGAAGAGTAAGAAACGAGACGAAGAAAACCCTTCTCTGTTTCTCCCCTTCTCTCTCTCCCTAGACCAACACAAGCAAACAGAGACTCCCGATCCCTTTACATGTACTTTACGTATTCTGGAATTTGTGAAACCGAACCTTGGGTCGGATCGGGTCGGTCTATTTTGACCAATTCTCAACCTGCTTTTATCTTGTTTATTACAATCTTCGTCCCTATGCTTTGTAAAAGATTACAATTTTCATCCCCGTTGGGTTTGGAGTTTTGATTTTTATGTCCGTGGTTTTTAATTCGTTGCTGGTTTCATCCTTATGGTTTATAATATACTAGAAGGGTAGTCGTACAATGCAGTGAAATACATTTTGATTTTTATATTTTATTTTATTTATTTTTTGTCTCGGTTGATGTTACAATACAGTTTTATGTGATTTAAAAAAAACAATGTTTTTATTTTTGAATGAAATATAAATAATATCATAAAAAATTAAATAAAAATATTGATATTGGTATCAAAATGACTATTTAAAATTTCTCCATTTTTGTGTATTTCTTTAATTCAATTTTTTTAGTTTAATAATATAATTTTTATACAAAGATAATAATTAAATATTTTGTTAGAACTCAATAATTATTCTAACTATATTTTAAAAAAATTATATTTAAAATGAGATGTTTATCATTTATTTGATTAATTTATTTACAGTTAGTTATACAAATTCAAACATGAAGCTTTAATAAGTTATACTTATGTAAAATTTACTTGTAATCTTGATTTTTAAGTAATAAGCATCAATAAACAGTACTTCATATATAAAAGATGGGTTTTAAAAGTTTTTGTCAAATGTCTTATAATATAATATAAATTATTGTTTTCGAGACTAAATTTATTAAAATTCTTCATTTAATTTAGGAGTATTTTAGCCTTTCTTTTTCTCAATTGTTTTTAGTTTGTTAAACAATAAACATTTTTTTTGGTTTTTTTTTTTTGGTATTTTAATCTTTTTGATTTGATCAAAGTATTTGTTTTTGATAAAAGGATTAATATATAAAAAAGTTATATTATTTTGTTACCGTCTATTATAAAATAATTAAATATTTTCCATATAATTAGTTGTTATAGTTTTAGTTTCTTATAAATCCGATTTTTGTCACTTACGTATGCAAATGCAAGTCGTTGAATAACCATCACATGAGCGTACATTGACAAAACATGGTTTTACCCTCACCATTCTCTCGAAATATATTTGACAAGTATGGTCAAGATGAGGGAGAGGTGTTTAGGGATGAGATCGATACCAGACCAGTATCGAACCGGCCAGTACCGAAAAAAATTGGACAAAAAATGAGAACCGAATACCGAACTAAATGTACCGGTTCGGTTTCGGTATCATGACGGGAAATTCAGTCTCAGTACCACTTAGGACCGAATATTTAAAGTTAATAAATAAAACAATCAAAACCAAATCGCAAACTTGTAAATATTACCAAGATTATTATTATATTAACCAATAATTAACTCAAAGAATTAGTTTATGATTGACAAACATAATCTAAAACTTAAGAAATGATTAGTTAGCACATAGAGATGGAATTGAAATAGCCAAAATTCCCTCGAGTTACTTGGTTCGGTACCGGTTTTTTTGGTATAATCCTGGTACCAAATACCGATATAAGAATTCGGTACGGGACCGGTTCGGTTCAGAAAAACGATATGTAAAGCTCATCTCGAGAGGTGTTAGTGACATTTAGAAGTCATTTATACTCGAAACGCAAAAAGTCTTCGGACCATCATGGACGTCACAAGAGGCCAATTGTAGACGTTCATAATTACTAGGGTTGTAAACGATACAAACTGCTCGATCTCGAGTTGATTTCAAACACAAAATATAACTCATGTAAGTTAACGAGATCAGCTTCATAACACCAATGTTCGACTCCGCTCGCTCGATTAAATGTTTCAAGTCGAGTAAGCCTAACCATTCGAGCATTACATTTTTTCAAGTCAAACATGTTCACATGTTCATAAATCATACAATATAAATACGAAAATTATCAACCTTGAGCTCATAAACGAGCATCTAACTCGAACACGATAACTTAAAAAATATTCGAGCTCGAGCCCTATGATACAATGTTGACTATATTAAAAAAGTTATTCGAACTCGAGTCTAATATTATTTTTTCAGGACTAGCTTATCCCCAGATCAAAGAATGAAAATGGTAATTCACTTTGATGTGTCCAAATTATCTGTTGCTTTTCACTTCCATTAATCACTTCGTTATTGATAATGTGATTTCACGTGATTGATTGAAAACGGATTTTTATTCTCCTATAACCATTGAAAATTCGTAGGTATAAGAAGACTCCATAGTTGAATCAAACCATACAGACTCGATAAATCTCACGCAAAGTTAGTCTCATACGTAGATATCGTCTTTACCAAAAGGGTATAGAGGCCGTTTCCGTGAATACTAAACGAGTCCTACAATAATTATTGTATTGACAATCAACACACCCGTTCATTGTTATATAAAAAATAATTATCATACCGCTAAGATTCATTACTATGATAAACACTTATAGACTAAAAATCAAATGTCAAAACCGAGATAAACCAAACTTACAAGACACGCCCAAGGGGAAGGTGGTTACGCTACACCATTATGCCCACGGCCACCGCATTCTGAACACATGATGTTACCGGTTCCACCACAACCTGCAACCACGAAAAAAAAAAAAATTAACGATTGCCTTTGCAAACAAATCGTCATTCTTGCAATAACGCGGAAAGAAATAAAAAAGATAGAAAGAGGGGGGAGATTAGAGAGAGAGAGAAGAAATATTATTGCATAGCTGGGAAATGTATACAACTAAAACAACTAACTTTCTCGCCAAAAATATGGATAATTACATTCTGTTGCAATAACAGAAAACCAACTTCCCATGAAATCAATAGACAACAAAAGATCACTGCTTTCAACTCCATTGCAAATATCTAACATTTATGTCATTGCGATTTTTTGCCCAAAAACAAAAACCATGCCAAAGCGTCAATGGCCCGGCAGCACCCAGGGTCCCGGAGATCAGAACCTCCTTGGAGGTCAAGGGTTCAAGCCTCATCAAAAAAGTGAGAAATGTGGGAGTTTTGCTGTATATAAAAATTGTCTACTAGGTGTTTTATGATATATAGCCAAACAAAAACTCAATCAGTGAAGAAAATACTCGAGTAAGAAAATACTCGAGTAAAGTTCCTGCATATATGAACATATGGTTCTACGAGCATTTCTGAACATCAATACTCGAGTAAAGTTCCTGCATATATGAACATATGGTTCTACGAGCATTTCTGAACATCACTCTTCATCCTTGCTTGAAGAAAGCAATCTTAAGTTCCAGAAATTCCACGGTCATTGGAATACAGCTGGTTTGCAGTCGTTCGGCTCCAAAGCGAAGAATCTTCAGATTAATCGCAAAGAGGGTACCAAAGGTCCATCAAGACCGAGGACATTGACCAAAGAGTCATTGACTAGGAGGTCAAGAGTTCAAAGCTCACCAAAGGCGAAGAGTGTGCATGAGTATTGCCGTATATAAATAATATGTACTTCCAAAAAAGACTGAGGACATTTGAACAAAGGGTCCTTGGCTGCCTCCCTGAAGGTCAAGGGTTCAAACCTCACCAAAGATGAGGGGTGTGCGTGAGCATTTGCCGTGTGTGTGTATATATATATCTTATGTAAAAAATAAGACTGGACACTAACTAGTGCAAAGATCCTAATGGAGTGTCCTATAATTTGACCTTCACCCTCTTAGAAATTTGGAATTGATAAATGATAGGTTTATAATAGACCCATCCGTCCACTCTTATAATGTTGTTAGTCGTAAGCCCTGATAAAGCATGAAGTATGATTTGGGGTTCGGGGTTCCTGGGTACTTTCTGTTTCTTGGCACCTTCTCCTCATCTGCTCATTAGTGCTATATCTCTATACTTATACTAGACATTCCTCGTTGGCTGCTAGCATGAAATAGATGGGGGCTTTTATACATATGTCCTATATAGTATATGGCGATCTGGTGGGGATATGACCTTTCGCATTTCTTTTTTCAAACATGACCTTCAAAAATGTGTTATTCCAAAAATACCCTTAATGATTGTACAACTCCAATTTAAAATGAGATCAATCATAAACCAGAGAAAAACGATGAGGTCATCTTCATTGTAGGTGGCATGTCGTAGGAAGTCATCTTGAACTCCCAAATGGATTTCCTTCGGTACAAAATGATGCAAGAACTCTTCCATTAATGTAGAAATTTTCTTCAAATTTTCTCTATATTAAACAAACTTACAACCAAGGTATATATACAAGAAATAACATATATGCTCACAACAGAATATCTAAAAACACGAAACTCTATCAAGGAGTTTCTGTTGAAACAGAATTCTGCAAATTAGGAAAGGAGATATAAGATGTCTAATAAACTATCATACACTTCTTCAAGAGGTTAAAAATCTTACAATATTTCTACAGTTTCCCATGGCAGGTATTGTATTTGTTCCATAAAGCTTTCCTGAGTACCACCATGAAGGTATGTGCTCCAATGAAGATCATGGGTAAGCTCCTAAACAGGTGAATCAAATCTTCTCCTAGTCTCCTAGGACCTATCCAGGTAAGATGACGTATATCAGAGGGCCACAAGGTCAGGGCAGAGTGTGACCTGGGCAGTCAATAGGGGTGCAAAAGCGAATTGCTGTCCTAAGATGAATTGCGGTTCTAAAATGGCGGTGCTGCAATTAACGGCACCATTCACCGGTATTGCACCGCGATTTGGTATCACAATAGTGGTCCGCAATAACGCAATAATTCTTGGGCCATTTCAGTGTTGGGGCTTTAGGTTTTTAGAATATTTACGCTTTGTTTTAATCTTTTATGGGCCTTTTTTGTTACTTTTATGTTATTATTGTTGTGCCACTTTATTATTTCAGTTTTGACCTAAATTAAATCCATTTCCATTTCATTGACTGAATCGTACCCAAGACACCAAATCATCCAGCCCAAATCATCCCTGCCTTTCAATTACTCGACTTCACTCCTCGACACCATTGCTTGACTTCAGTCCTTTTTGAATAATCTGTATATTTAATTTATTAAGTTTTATATATATATTCTTTTATGTGTTGGGCATACAATATATTAAGTTATATATATATATATATATATATATTCGTATTTAATTTATGAACCTATTTCTTTTACAGCTATCCCACCACGATAACCGCGATTGCAAATCAAGGTCCCAACTGCAATTTCCACAATCGACCGTGTAAACTGCTTAGAGTGTGATAAATAAGGGATGTTACACAAGTCTTAAGCAAGGTGCAGGCGGATATGAAGTCCAATGGTTGCTGGCTAATGGTGAAAATCATTGACGATACAAACTAGTAGCTTAAGACAGCCAAACAAAATAAAAATAAGCATGAAAACAAATATTGTGTCTGCCATACCGATATGGCTTCGCATAATTTTAAATATCTCAGTTAATTTGATAATACAATATATACGACTCGAGGAAAACCTTATGATATGCATAGTAGTCTAGTACATATGATGGACCCCCACACCTAAACATAAAAACATATGAAACTTTTATTCTAGCCTAATACTTATGTCCTAATATACAACTTAAATTACTAAAGGGAAAAAAATAATAATGCTGAGGGGCACCTTTCTGTATGAAACTGCATACATACAAATGATAGGACTTCTTGGAACTTTTAAAGTTAAAAATGGCAGGATAAGTGAAATATGACATGATAATACCCCCTCCGCCGCAAATTAGTTGTCTACATTTCTATTTTAGTTTGTCCCAAAATAAGCGTCCACTTTCAAAAGTAAGTTTCCACTTTCCCGTTCTACCCTTAATTATGAGATGGAGAAAGTTTTTCTATCTATTATTAAGGGTAAAAGTGTCATTTAGTTACTTAAGAAGTGTAAAAATTACACATTCCTAAAATTGTGTGCCATCTTCTGATTTTCATTGTGGACATTTACTTTGGGACGTAGGGAGTAGGAGTAATACTCTTGGTAAAGTATAGGGACAAAATGAAAGTATCTTATTAAGACCATATTCAAAGCGATACATGGTATAGCTTTGTCATAACAAAGAAGGCAAGTAAGAAAACTCGATTATTTTCAGAGACCAAGTTTCACACCAGATGATCATATATTGTTCAATGTAGGGGAGTGTAGCCGATCAGCCCTCCACAGAAGAGAGTTTTACGAACTAACCTTTTATTGTTTTTACAAGGTTTACAGTGGCAGGCCTAACGGCAGAGGTTTAAAGGGTTATTGAGTTAAAAAAAAGGTTCATGATCCTATTTAAAATTTCAATTAAGGTCAGTTAGACCATCATCCAATGTAATCAATTGTGTAGTAAAAGTGAGACATATGAGTTTACCTAGGCATCGAACTTTGACAATGATACCCTGACTCTCCATTATGGAGTCAACATATAATCCAGATCCAGAGCAAGTGGCACAAAGAATAGCACCCTTTGCTTCGCAGCCAGGGCAACGTGTTTTATTGCCAATGTTCTTCTCACCTAGTGACAAGCCAACTGGTTTCTCGATTATCTCCTCTGGAACAGCCTTATCATAACAAAAGAGAGACTCAAGACTGCTTAATCTTCTGTGCGTATGAACCACTGCACTTGATGAAGACTGCAAATCCAAACATTTAGCAGCTAATTTTACACATTCTGAAGATTAAATTCATGGGAAATTTCATGTCACATACACAAATCACCGTAATACAATATGGATTTGGGCATTATATAATTGAAATTATATTCAAATTTACGTTAATGTACATGGAAAATTGCACAAAAGAAGACCAGACAATGACACCCTGCTAATGAAGCTTTTGTTATCATAAACCTAAATTGAGTCATCATCCACTGACGATATTATGTAGCAAGTTATCCAACATGATTATGCAAGCAATTGACTATATAGGTAACGTCAAAACTGATAGTAGAATATTGAAGCAACTACAATTTGACTTGGGTATCAAAGTGTAGCTTTCTAACTTCAGAAATTCTAAAGGTTTGAAGCCAAGTAGACTTATAAATGTTGGCTAATCAATTTTGTAACAATAATACTAAACAAGTTAACAAACAAATACATAATTTACCCAAAAACAAAGAGAAAAGAAGCCAATAACCAATAAGAAATCCTACAAAAAATGATCAACATTTCACGTTTCTTTTGCTAATAGAAGTAAAGAATACTAACAAGCTGTGAACCAGAGGGACGAGCTGCGCCGTTCTCTGAGCTAGCGTTGATCTTGAGAAACGAACGGCGTGTTCGTTTATCACCAAAACAAATCGATTTCCTAAAAAGATGTTTGGATGAAGAAAAAGAAGCGGGTAAGCTCATTGATGACGAAATTTTCAAAGCACACTCCATTCGAACTATGCGTCTATAATACGATAAACAGGACCAATAATTAGGGTTCCAAAGTGGGAATGGATTGATCGAAATTCCAGTAAAAGAAGGTAAATAACGATTGGGTTTTGGGGAGTGATCGATGATTTCTTTCCTTCCGCCTCGTAGTTAACGGCCAAATACATATTGTTTTGACCAATTTCATGGGGATTTTTGTGTACCATGCGCTTGTGCCCCTGGTCCGATCGATTCGGGTTGAAGCGATGGGGCGGGCAAACTCCTTGGACCAAGACCATCCATGATTCGGGTTAAACATGTTGTAGCTTAGATATGACGTTTTCTTTGTTTTATTTTATAAACTTAAGTTTTATAAAATATCATATTAAGATGTTTAAATATTTTTTTAACATCTTATAAATCTAATGTTATTGTTATGAATATTATATCTATTTACATTTTTTTTCCACCAAAGTAAACCATCAGATGACAAGTTTTTGGATTGTTAGATTCATCAATCAAGTATCTATAACATCATTTATATTCCCCAACACATCCATTTATTGTTGCTGTAAAAACAATTTCAATAATTTTCTTCTATTATATCTTTTGCTATCATTTTTTGGTGGTAAATCTCTTTTGATAGCATATATTATACATATAGCTAAAAGAAATACAAACATTATATAAAGTTTTACACAGTATTCGTGTATATATATGTGTGTGTGTGTGTGTGTATGTGTATGTGTGTGTGTATGAAGTATCATGTAAGAAATAGAGTTAATGTGAGAAACGTAAGAATAGATTTGAATCCTTGATCATCTTTAATCTCAAAAACACACATGAATCATGTTTGATATGAGGATTGATCTGGTGCATCTCGCCCTAATGTGCATCTAAGAATGAAGGTCTTTTTTTACTCTTCTAATCATAACTTCCCTTCTCACATGATCATTCGCCTACATACATACATACATACATACATACATACATACATACATATGATAGGGGGAATTTCTTTTAAGAACTCACAAAATTGTGATAATCTCAACAACTTGTGTATCATGTGTAGAGATGGCCAAAAATCGGTCCCGGGCCGGTCCCAATTGGTCCTCATCTTTCTCATAACCGGCCATAACCGGTCTCGGTCTCGGTCCCGGTCCCGGTCCCGGTCTCGGTCCCGGTCCCAACCGAAAATGATAGGACCGGTCAAGGTACTTCATAATCGGTTATGGGCCGTTGGTCCCGGTCCCGATCCCAACCGGTCCTTGCATTAAAAAAGTAAGATTTTTTTTGATTTTTTTAATGATATATATTTTTAATACATTATAAAATTTACAATTGGGTCACTCAAATACACTTTAAAAATGCGTTTTAATATAATTAAAATTACGTTTTCTTATAAAAATACATTATAAAATTATTTAAAAATTCATTTATTTATAAAATTATTTTGAATTTTCGGGTCGGGCCGGTCCATAGTCGGTCCCATAACCGGTCCCGGTCCCGGTCCCGGTCCCGTTCGGTCCCAGTCCCACGAAACTACCAAAAACCTCAACCGGTCCCGGTTTTCGGTCCCATAACCGGTCCTTACCGGTTCCGGTCCCGGGCCAGGCCGATTTGGCCATCTCTAATCATGTGTTATTTCATATGTTTTTTCCATTTAAGACTAGGATTTATAATATTGATTAACATATATTTGTTTCACATGTACACGGTTTACAATGTGAACATTTTTTACGTGTTTGTAAAACAAAAAATACACGTAAAAAAGTTTCATTTGTGAACTGAATACGTATGAAACAAATACATTATGAAACAAATATATGTTAATCCATACATTAAATACTATACTTAGACCAAAAAGATCATGTGAAACACAAACTAAAATAAAAGTTCTCATGGATTTCACAAATATTAAAGTTCTCAAATGATTAAGCCTCATATATAGTAAACATACTAGTATATTATATATAAATATAAGGGGCTGTTTGGTAGTTGCTGAATGGTTTGGTACACAATGATTAAGTGGTCAGAATGATTAGGAGGCTCTCATGATATAGTGTAAATTCAAATATAATTGTTTGGTAGTTGTTTACGATGAAATTAGGGCGCTGAATGGTTAAAGGAGACCCATGATACAAAATCATTCAGAAGGTTTTGGAACCATTAAGAGGCAGACTTTTTTTTGTCAAACAAGATTCACCAAAGGGTCTTTAGCCTAGTGGTATGTGAGTTTTTGGCCTTCCAGGAGGTCAAGGGTTCAAACCCTGCCTTAGGTGAGGAGGGTGTGTGAGTTTTATTTTGTTCTATTTGCCGTATATTATATACTTCAAAAAAAAGATTCACCTCTTAACGATTCAGAGGGTGTCTCTTAATGAAACTATTAAGAGGTAAACAAACAACCCCTAAGTAAAATTTTACTGAAGTTGTATATTAGTGGGGGGTTGATGAGTTGGTTTGGGTTGGGTTGAGCTAGGCTAACCCAATTTTAATTCTCTTAATTGACGGTTTAGTGGGTTGACGATTTAGTGAGTTGAGTTTAATTGGGTTGTTAACGAGTTGGTTTGGACAGGTTGAGCGGTTCGACGGTTTTTTACAGCTTAATCATTAAGCCATTAAGCTAAAATGACTATATAAAATAAGTCTGAATACTTCACTCTTCTCCACTATACCATTCCAAACAAATTAATACTAAAATGCCCAGAAATAATGCAATCTTCTCTCTTTGCTTCTCTCAAACCCATTAGTTTTCCCATCTATCAGACAGAGAAATTTACCCAAACAGACAACTTAACATATATAAAATTTAATATAGAAATAAAAATAAAAAGTAAAGAGCGCTTACGTCAAATAAAATTGATTGCTAAGACTATCTTTACTCGCAAACCTTTATAACCCAATTTCAATTAAATTATTATTTTTTGTCTCATCCACATATATAATCTTCAACTTCATCCAATCTTACTTCTTGTATTATTTAACCACAATCCTCTCCAATCCAATCCAGTTTAATCAAAAATATTATTTTATAAAAATCATATATTTAATTTTTTATATAATTTTTAATTTTAAGTATAGGAATAGAATAAACGGACCATTACATATTTTAAAATGTAATTATAATTATAAAAAACTTACCATACAATTGAAATTAAACAAAACAAGTCACAAAACTAAGTATGAAATTACGTATCTAAAATACATAAATCATCATAGTTAGTTATCATGACCGAATTTTTGCCATATATGCTCTATCAAATCATTTTTAGAACATTATGAGCTTCCTTATTGCAAAGTTGTTCTCTGTTAGTCATATAACAAAATAGGTTTGAGATCTGTTCAATTGCGAAGTTGTTCTCTATCGAATCATTTTGGTATGTATCTTGTACGTCTTCAACTATCATATGCATGATGATACAAGCTATCATAATTCGTCTCCTTATATGTCTGTCCCAAACAAGATATGATTGTCGAATAAATGCAAAACGAGCTTGTAGAACTCCAAATGCTCGCTCAACATCTTTTATGCATGTCTCTTGAACTTGAGCAAGTTGAGATGTAATTGACTTGACAAATGCAGCCCAAGAAGAGTATATGTCATCAGTGAGATAATATGTCCTATCATTTTCGTGACCATTCACGACATAACCAACTTTTGGTGATCGACCTGCCAATACATCATTAAAAACAGGAGATCAATGGAGTACATTAATATCATTAAGCGAACCTGGGGTTCCAAAGAAAGCATGCCATATCCATAAATCGTATGATGCAACGGCTTCCAGAATGATTGTTGGTTTTCCACTTCTTCCAGCATATTGTCCAACCCATGCACTTGGACAATTTTTCCATTCCGAGTGCATGCAGTCAATACTACCTATCATACCCGGGAATCCACGTTGATCTCCAATGTAGAGTAGTCTTTCCAAGTCGGCTTCGTTAGGCTTTCTAAGGTACTCGTCACCAAAACATGAGAGCTGCCCTTGTTGTGGATCCACTCATTCTCAAATATTCATCAACAACATCAACTGATTCCCCATATGCCAACACCCTCATGGCCGCAATACATTTTTGCAATGGTGAAAGACTTTGTCTACCAATGGCATCAGTTATTTGCGGAAAATATTCGTCAGTAGCAGTAATATCATCCACTATACGACGAAATAAAGGTCTTCGCATTTGAAATCTTCTTCGGAAGATAACCTGGTCATACGTCGGATTGTCGATAAAATAGTCTTCTATCAAACGTACTTCACACATCTAACGTTGCCTATCACAATATCTCCTACTTGCTCTTGGAGATTGATCTCCTATGAACATCTTGGATGAGTTTATGACCATATCCTTAATGATGCGATCAAGTTCTTGGTTTTGTTGAACAACTCGTGATTGCCATTCATCGAATTCGTCAACTGATTCTAGTGAAGAGTTTTCGTTGTGAAACATTTTAGTGGATGTTCGAGGAAAATTGTATGTATAAATCTTTGTTGAAAGACAACAAATATATAGGCATTATTGGGAGACAATGACATGTGAACGTGAGTGAAAGAGACCTGTCATTACTGGGAGAAATGAGATGTAAACTAAGTGAAAGAGACAACACATTATTGGGAGACAATGACATGTGAACCTAAGTGAAAGAGACCTGTCATTATTGAGAGACAATGACATGTGAACTAAGTGAAAGAGACAACACATTATTGGAAGACAATGACATGTGAACCTGAGTGAAAGAGACCTGTCATTATTGGGAGACATTGACATATGAACTGAGTGCAAGAGACAACACATTATTAGGAGTCAATGACTTGTGAACATGAGTGAAATAAACCTGTCATTATTGGGAGACAGTGGCATGTGAACCATTCATTTTAACATAAAAACAAACTTCAGATAACACACTTGAAAAACAAGTTACAAACAGATATATGGAATAATAAATTACATATAGAGAATTCTAAATTGCAAATAAACCACTATTCATACAACATACTCAAAAGACATTCTTTCAACGCCTCCTCTCCCGGTGACAGGTGTTCCTTCGCCAGTAGTATACGCAGATTCTTGTTGTGTTCTTCTCTTTTTCAAGTTCAAGTCTTTTGGTCATGATTTCAACCTTATCGTTTCTTTTGATGTTTAATGCACGAAATTCTTCACAATAGTTAGGAGCTAAAGAAGATTGTGATGCCTTACCTTTTCCT